AGAGGAGGTCAGTGAGGGCGGGGTGGGAGACCGTGTAGCCGTTGGGCGCGTGTACAATGAAGGCGCTGGAGGAGCCGTGGCCCACGCGCTGGCCACCGCTGCCAAAGTGGATCACCTGGTCGAGCAGATCGGCTACGTGCATGTCCACTCCCATCACACCGAGGAAGACGTCCTGGAAGGGGAAGAGAAGAAAAGAGTTTAAGGAAAGCCAAATAGGAAAAATTAGAAGCAATTAATCGTAGGTAATAAGACTTCGAAAGAGGCATAAAAACATGATATTTTTGCGGCGATACTTAAAGCAGGATTAAGCGACGATTTCGACATCCTATTTAAAAGACATACATGACAGCTCAGCTCATGGTTAACAAAGTTCTAGGAAGACTATTCCAATCTGAAGGGGCAACGGATACCTTCCAGTTGTATGCCACTTTTAATTAGGAGTAGGGAGGCGTCGTAGGACTGCCCAATGGCAAAGGATTTCCTGGCCAAATTGTCTGACGGATTTCGTGGTGTAATACTTGACTAGTGAGCAGGTAAGGCGTGCGTAATGCGAGGTAGGAGCACAATAGAAAATAAGTTACAGCAGCTAGTAATTGCTTTTTTCTGAAATCAAGCCTAGGTAAAAAACGTTTCGAAAAGAACTAAAAAGACCTAGACTAGGGGCAGATGAGGCGCACTGCTTAAACAACTGTTGCCAAAATCAGGTAAAAGCGAGTGTAAGGAATGTTATTGAAAGTCTATAAAATCGAGCAAGAACGCACTGTTCTCACAAAGAAGGCTATCAGATCGTACTAAATAAGTTGGTCGAATTATCTCCTCATTATTTTGCTCTAAACTTCGTACGTCAATGCGTGAGAAAACAAAAGTCAAAGAGAAAGGACGCAGGCGGTAGCAATCAGACACGCAAGCAACGTATTTGGCTAAGCCTTCCTTGCATTAAAATGTATCTCAATCGTCGATAGACACTTATGGAAGCACCAAATTGCTATACCCTAAGGATGCGGTTAACTATTCGGACAAGAAAGCAGTTGCCTACAAGATCCTATTTGGAGCGTGCGATGCCGCTGTGGTCAAATTGGAAAATTCGCATCCGCGCGCATTCGCATGCATCAATCTGTGGTAAAAAGGCGAAAAACCTGTCCCGTGCGATTACAATTTATATTCCTTGGGAGACCTACCTTTCAAAGCATACATATGTGTGTGGATTACTCACGAAGTGCCGTCAATATTCTGTATCACGCCGTGCGACTACGATATCAGCACACTTCCTGTTAAACATTTATTTTGAGCACACATACGATAACTGGCAGTCGAATGACTGCTGTGTGAGTCACTCTCGGATAAACCACTAACAATAAGCCACTACCTAGAATTAAGCCAGGCGAGCTAAAAACGGTCGCACGCCGATACATTGCCTTGACAAAGCAGACAAACCTGCAATATACATGAAGATACAAAGTGGCACTCACATTATCATAGAAGGCCTGGCTGATGCTCATGACGAGACCTCTGCCCTCCAGATCCGGATAGGGCAGGGAGTAGAAAAGGGCAGAAGATGGTAAAAACGTAGGGGTAGAGGCCTCCTTCTGTTTCTCCTTCTCCTCCTCGAACGCTGGTGGTGACTGCAGAAAGTCCGCCTTTTCAACGCGGACGTCGGCAAAGAAGGCGGCCTGCGAGGAAACAGAGGGCTCCGCATTCTCCACGCCAGCTTCATCCTCTACTTGAACGAGGACGTGCTCATCGCGAGTGGCCTCCTTGGAGGCGCGAAGGGCCGTCCCAC